AAAAAAAAAAAAAAAAAAAAAGTGTATATTCCACTTATTGATGCCTCACCGGTGACTCTTGTGTGTGCCCTGCCCGGGGATTGAACCAGCAACCCTGGCGCATCGGGACACAACACCGTAACCAACTGAGCTACCCGCCAGAGCGTGCAAAATATGTTTAAAGGAACAGATGGGTGCATTCGAAACCTGGAAACACTGGCATCGTTAAAGGCGCAGGACTAATCAGTACGTGCAGTAAGGCCGGGAGACCCTCGAGCTCTTACGTTCGGAGACGGCTCTGCCCTCTCGCAGTGCGGTTCTCCTCTGCCGCTCCCGCCTGACTGTGTCCCGTGGTACGACCTGCCTTCGATGAAGGTGATGTAGTCCTTGTAGGAGCAGAGGGGGCCGGCCAGGATGCCCATGAAGTTGCAGTTGTAGCTCAAATACTCCAGGAGGCTGGGCATACGCCTGCATGAACGACAGCAGCTGTGAGACGCGACCGGCGCTCTCGGGAAACTCAGCGAGAACCACCGCCTTCCCCCTCGCCGCTCCCGCCACGTCCCACATAAAACAAGCTTTATTTTCCACCTGCTTCCACACAATAAGGATCCTGAAAGACCAGGACGCAGTCGTGCTCAGCAGCAGCTCTGGACAAAAGAGCCTGCACGCAGATCCCTATGAGCAACTGCAAATTCCTCACGAGAGAAACCTGCATGGACAAGGCCTGGCAGAAAGAGCCGCCCCCACCGGTCAATCATTCGCTCATTTAAAACGTCCGTGTGCACCTACTACGCGCTCACACGCGCCAGCGTCTAGATACCGCAGTGAACAGAGAACCTGCACGCACAGAGTTGAGCTAAGAGCTGCGGGAAACACACCAAGAATGTATAAAATATTCTCAGAGCTGCTAAGCACTACGAAGAGAAGGGGCTATGCTGTTGTAGTAATAAGGCAGAGGAGGCCTCTCAGACAGGACGGCTTTGAGCAGAGACCGGGAGGAAGCGAGAGAGGGAACCGAGTGACTCTCGGGGACAAGGGTCCCAGGCAGAGGGACCGGTGATGCCAAACCCCTGGGCTGGGGCATGTGGGCAGCCCCGGGGCCTGGGAGGCCGGAGCAGACGGGACCAGGGCAGAGGAGGAGGGAGGCGGCGGGAGCCGAGATGGGGGACACCCAGGGCTTTATCCTGCAGGCGAAGGAAACCTACAGCAGGCGTCTCAATACCCTTGTCTCAAAAGATCCACAGCCCCTGTGGGCGGACAGGGCAAGGGTGGGGGTGGAAGGCCAGGCAGGAGGC